CAAGCGATTCTCCTGCCTCAGCCACCGGAGTAGCTGGGATTACAGGCATGCACCACCACGCCTGGCTAATTTTGTATTTTTAGTAGAGACGGGGTTTCTCCATATTGGTTCAGGCTGTTCTAGAACTCCCAGCCTCAGGTGATCCACCTACCTCGGCCTCCCAAAGTGCTGGGATTATAGGCGTGAGCCACCACACCAGGCCACTCCCAGCTAAGTTTAAATTATTTTTGTTTGTTTGTTTGTTTTTATTTTTTGAGACAGGGTCTCCTGCCCAGGTTGGAGTGCAGATCACTGCAGCCTCCACCTCCCAAGCCTAAGCCATCCTCCCCACTCAGCCTCCCAAGTATCTGGGATTACAGGTGTGTGCCACCATGCCTGGCTAGGTTTTGTATTTTTTGTAGAGATGAGAGTCTCACTATGTTGCCCAGGCTGGTCTCAAACTCCTGGGCTCAAGCAATCCTCCCTCCTCAGTCTCCCTAAGTGCTGGGGAAATCCACTTTTGAAACACTGTCTGGAGAGGTGCCCAGGTGTTAGATCACAGAAATAGGTCATCGTGGGGTCCTCTCATGGGTGCAGTCTTGAGCCACCTGTGGCCAGCAAATATTTGGAGAATAATAGTCAGGGGAGAGCTTGAGGTTCAGGAAAAGATTTTGTTTTTCCTCAGGGCAAGTTTTTTATTGTTCTTTATCCCTCCTTAAAGGACCTTCAGGTGTTACTGACATTCCCAGTCTACCCAGTGGCACATTTAGTTTGTAAGCTGGACCCTTACACAGAGGTAGGGAGGTGAGAGCATTGGATTAGTGGTCACCTAGTGGGGTGATCAGAGACTCCTCCCTTAAGATCTTTATCGCCAATGCCTCTGGCGCAACTTTCCTTTTTATTTATCGCAAGCCTCTTGGAATCTCAAACCTCCTGGAATCTCAATTGCTTTTTGCCCACCCGGTGTGTCAGCACAAGAAATGAGTCATTTCCTCCTTTAAGCACAATCGAAATTGAGCTGTGAGTCAGTGGGGTGTGTACAGTATTGTCAAAGCACCTCCAATGAGACATTCCACACAGATCTGTAGTTGGGCAAGATAATTATCAGTTTGTGACCACAACAGATTCCAAAGCTCAACTCATTTTCTTCTCTCTTCCTTCCCTTTTTTCTTTTCTTTTTTTTTTTTTTTTTTTTGACAGAGTCTCACTCTATTGCCCAGGCTGGAGTGCAGTGGCACAATCTGGGCTCACTGCAGCCTCTGCCTCCTGGGTTCAAATGATTCTCGTGTTTCAGCCTCCCGAGTAGCTGGGATTACAGGCATGTGCCACCATGCCTGGCTAATTTTTGTATTTTTAGTGGAGATGGAGGTTTCACCATGTTGGCCAGGCTGGTCTCGAACTCCTGAACTTAGGTGATCTGCCCACTTCGGCCTCCCAAAGTGCTGAGATCACAAACGTGAGTCACCACACCCAGCCTGTTCTGTTCTTTAATTCTCAAAACACCGTCTAGGAAGTAGAGATTGCCATTCTCCCCCATTTTACAGATCAGGAAACTGAGTCCCAGAAGAATTAAGTCAGGTACCCAAGTCGTTCTAGTTAAATGACCTGGAAAGTCACTGAAGCCCAGGATTGTCTATCTAACCCCCTTACTACTCTGACTTTCAGGGAGTCTACATGAATGTGCTGGGTCAACTATCAAAGTTGAAATGGATAAAGGGGGCTGGATGCAGTGGCTCATGCCTGTAATCCTAGCACTTTGGGAGGCCAAAATGGGTGGGTGGGTCGCCTGAGCCCAGGAGTGTGAGACCAGCCTGGGCAACATAGTGAGACCCCTGTCTCTGCAAAAAATAAAAACAAAACGTTAGCTGAGTGTGATGGTGCACCCGTCTAGTTGCAGCTGCTCAGTTAGGCTGAGGCAGGAGGATCGTGTGAACCTGGGAGGTCGAGGCTGCCGTGAGCCTCAGTCATGCCACTGCACTCCAACCTGGGTGACAGACTGAGACCCTGTGGCCAAAAGAGAAAGAAAAAAGACATAGATACCCCTTTTAAAGTTAGGTTGTATGTGAATTACCTACAGCTCAGTTTTAACCGTGCTTAAAGGAGGAAATGACTCATTTCTTGCTACACGTCAAATTAGCCCAAAACATAGTGGCTTAAAACAACACATTCATGATTTCTCAGTTTTTGTGTGTCAGGAATTTGGAAGCAGCACAGCTAGATGGTTCCAGCTCAGGGTCTCTCATGAAGTTGCAATCAAAATATTGGCAGGAGAGGAAAACATATTTTCAGAAGCTGCAGGCATAGGAAGGCTTGGCTGGGGTTGAAGGATCCACTTCCACGACAGGGCACACAGTGGCTCTTGGCTGGAGGCCTCAGTTCCCTGTTGCATGGAGCTCTCCCTCCAGCTGCTTGAGTGGACTCATGACATGCAGCTGGCCTCCCCTGGAGTAAGTCGATCCAACAATGAGCATGGCCATGAACTAGGCTCAGAAGCCACTCGCTGTCACCTCTACATTTTCCTATCAGAAGTCCAGTGCCACACCAGGGGACAGGAATTAGGCTCTGCCTGCTGAAAGGATTATCATAGAAGATGCAGTCATATATTCTTTTTTTTTTTTTTTTGAGACGGAGTCTCGCTGAGTCGCCCAGGTTGGAGTACAATGGCAGGATCTTGGCTTACTGCAAGCTCCGCCTCCCGGATTCACGTCGTTCTCCTGCCTCAGCCTCCCGAGTAGCTGGGACTACAGGCACCCACCACCACGGCCGGCTAATTTCTTGTATTTTTAGTAGAGACGGGGTTTCACCATGGTCTCCATCTCCTGACCTCATGATCTGCCCGCCTCGGCCTCCCAAAGTGCTGAGGATTACAGGCGTGAGCCACCGCGCCTGGCCTATTCTTTTTTTTTTAATTATTTTTTTTATTTTGTAGAGATGGGGTCTTGGTATGTTGCCCAGGCCAGTCTAGAACTCCGGGGCTCAAACAATCCTATCTCTGCCTCCCAAAGTGTTGGGATTACAGGCGTGAGCTACTGCACCTGGCAATGTGGTCATAGTTTCTTTCTTTTTTTTTTTTTTTTGGAGACAGAGTCTCTGTCGCCCAGGCTGGAGTATAGAGGCGTGATCTCGGTTCACTGCAACATCCACCTCCCGGGTTCAAGCGATTCTCCTGCCTAAGCCTCCTGAGCAGCTACAGGCGCCCACCAGCACACCCAGCTAATTTTTTTAGTAGAGACGGGGTTTCACTGATCTCCGATCTCCTGATCTGGTGACCCCCCTGCCTCAGCCTCCCAAAGTGCTGGCTGGGATTACAGGTATGAGCCACTGTGCCTGGCCTTTCCTTTTTTTTTTTTTTTTTTTTTTTTTTTTTTTTTTGAGACAGAATCTCGCTCTGTTGCCAACCTGGAGAGCAGTGGTGTAATCTCGGCTCACTACAACCTCCACCTCCTGCATTCAAGCGATTCTCCTGCCTCAGCCTCCCGAGTAGCTGGGACTACAGGCCTGCGCCACCACCCCTGGCTAATTTTTTGTATTTTTAGTAGAGATGGGGTTTCACCATGTTGGCTAGGATGGTCTCGATCTCCCGACCTGGTGATCCACCCACCTCGGCCTCCCAAAGATTCCACCATCAATCAAAAGTTATCGATGTACATATGTAGTAGTTAGGCACGGTGGCGTGGGCCTGTAATCCCAGCTACTTGGAAGGGTTAAGGCAGGAGAATCTCTTGAACCTGGGAGGCAGAGGTTACAGTGAGTCAAGATTACACCACTGCACTCCAGTCTGGGCAACAGAACAAGACTCTGTCTCAAAAAAAAAAAAAAACAAAAAAACCCTTGTATGTGATTTTCCTGGAGAGCATCTGTTACACCTTCACAAAGATAAAAGGCAGACTTGGCCGGCCGTGGTGGCTCACACCTGTAATCCTAGCACTGAGAGACTGAGGCAGGTGGATCACTTGAGGTCAGGAATTCGAGACCAGCCTGGGCAACATGGTGAAACCCTGTCTCTACAAAAAATACAAAAATTAGCTGGGTGTGGTGGCTGGCACGCGCCTGTATTCCCAGCTGCTTGGGAAGCTAAGGCAGGAGAATCACTTGAACCCAGAGGCAGAGGTTTGCAGTGATTTGAGATCGCACCATTGCACTTGACAGAGCGAGACTCTGTGTCAAAAAGAAAATAAAATTTTTTTAAAAAAGGCAGATTTTTTTTTTCTTCTTGGTCTTATTACCTCATTATAGTAATAATAAGTGCATAGTGCATGCTGAGATAAGCAATCATAATTTGTTATTGCAGCCGGGCACGGTGGCTCCCACCTATAATCCCAGCACTTTGGTCAGGAGTTCAAGGCCAGCCTGGCCAATATAGTGTACTGGGCAGTACAGGTTTTTTTTTGAGATGGAGTTTTGCTCTTGTTGCCCAGGCTGGAGTGCAATGGTGCCATCTCAGCTCACCACAACCTTTGCTTCCCGGGTTCAAGTGATTCTCCCGCCTCAGCCTCCTGAGTAGCTGGGATTACAGGCATGTGCCACCACACCCAGCTAATTTTGTATTTTTAGTAGAGATGTGGTTTCAGCATATTGGCGACGCTGGTCTCAAACTCCTAACCTCAGGTGATCTGCCCACCTTGGCCTCCCAAAATGTTGGGATTACAGGCGTGAGCCACCACGCCCAGCTGCAGTACAGGTTTTTAATATGCGAAATACTCTTCCTTTCTTTATGAATGTGCATGGAAATTCTAATTTGGAATCAACAAAATATGGAGCCCATATTTTGGAATCAACAACATCAGCCTTTGTTGACAAGTATCTGTCTCTCTTGGGTGCCTTCCTTGTGTCCTCCACTATATTCTGGGGTTCATAAAATTTCAGTTGTTGTGGTTGCTTAATTTCCTGGGAATCAGACTGTTCCTAATTGGATGATATTTCTGGTTAATTCTATAGTTGGCAGGAAACAGGCACAGGAAACGTAGTCAGTTTCTGATTCTGGCGTTGAGTAGACCCTTTTTCCTTTTCCTCTCTCTCAGTGGGCGACAGATGTGAAAGAAACGAGTTCCAGTGTGAAGACGGGAAATGCATCTCCTACAAGTGGGTCTGCGATGGCACCGCTGAGTGCCAGGATGGCTCTGATGAGTCCCAAGAGACGTGCTGTGAGTCCCCTTTGGGCATGATGCACTTTTTTTTTTTTTTTGGTAATAGAGACAGGGTTTTGCCATGTTGGCCAGACTGGTCTTGAATTTCTGGTCTCAAGTGATCCTCTGGCCTCGGCCTCCCAAAGTGCTGGGATTACAGGCACCACGCCTGGCCTGTGACACAATTCTTAACCCCTTTTTGATGATGGCGGCTGGAAAAGTGGGCAGGGGATTTTGATGTATCCAATCATTAATTAGGAGGTGGGGAGAGAATGAATTATTGGAGTTTTCCTTAAAGCCATTAAATGGCTTTTTTTCCATTGATGTGAATTTCACATAACATGAAATTAACCAGCTCAGTGGCATTAATGCATTTGCAATGCTGTGCTGTGTGGCCACCACCTCTGTCTCAGTCCAAAACTTTGCATAACCTAATGTCTTTTTCTTTTTTTTTTAAGAGATGGAGTCTAATTCTGTTGCCCAGGCTGGAGTCCAGTGGCACAGTCATACCTCACTGCAGCCTTGACCTCTTGGGCTCAAGCGATTCTCTTGCCTCGACCTCCCAAAGTATTGGGATTACAGGCGTGAGCCACTGCACTCAGCCTAATGTCCAATTTTTTTTTTTTTTTTTGAGACGGAGTCTTGCTCTGTAGCCCGGACTGGAGTGCAGTGGCCGGATCTCAGCTCACTGCAAGCTCCGCCTCCCGGGTTTACACCATTCTCCTGCCTCAGCCTCCGGAGTAGCTGGGACTACAGGCGCCCGCCACCTCGCCCGGCTAGTTTTTTGTATTTTTAGTAGAGACGGGGTTTCACCGTGTTAGCCAGGATGGTCTCGATCTCCTGACCTCGTGATCCACCCGTCTCGGCCTCCCAAAGTGCTGGGATTACAGGCTTGAGCCACCGCGCCCGGCCGAATGTCCAATTTTTAACAAGCTCCATTAAATGCCCTCTGTTTTGTCCCATAAAGGGGTAGGCTTGGCCAGGCACAATGACTTGTGTCTGTAGTCCCAGCTACTTGGGAGGCTGAGGCAGAAAGGCAAAAAGATTCCTTTATAAAGCCCAGGAGTTTGAGGGCCACCTGGGTGACATAGCTAGACCCCATCTCTAAAAAATAAATAATAAATAAATATTTGTTGGTTTTTTTTTTTTTTTGAGACGGAGTCTTAGTCTTGCTGTGTTGCCCAGGCTGGAGTGCAGTGGTGCGATCTTGGCTCACTGCAAGCTCTGCCTCCTGAGTTCATGCCATTCTCCTGCCTCAGCCTCCCAAGTAGCTGGGACTACAGGCGCCTGCTACCACGCCCAGTTAATTTTTTGTGTTTTTAGTAGAGACAGGGTTTCACCGTGTTAGCCAGTATGGTCTCAATCTCCTGACCTCATGATCCACCTGCTTTGGCCTCCCAAAGTGCTGGGGTTACAGGCGTGAGCCACCGCGCCCGGCCCATATGTATTTTTTTTTTAAATAAATGGGAGGCCAGACATGGTGGCTCATGCCTAGAATCCCAGCACTTTGGGAGGCTGAGGTGGGTGGATCATTTGAGGCCATGAGTTTGAGACCAGCCTGGCCAACATGATGAAACTTCATCTCTACTTTAAAAAAAAAAAGTGGGATTGGCATTCTCTTCAAAGTTCTGGGGTTTTCCTTTGCAAAGAGAGAATTGGCGAGGCCAGTAGGTGTTTTTTTTTTTTTTTTTTCCCCTCTGTCTTGTGACGGAGTCTCACTCTGCCACTCAGGCTGGAGTGCAGTGGTAGGATCTCGGCTCACTGCAACCTCCACCTCCCAGGTTCAAGTGATTCTCCTGCCTCAGCCTTCTGAGTAGCTGGGACTACAGGCACCCACCACCACACCCATCTAATTTTTGTATTTTTAGTCGAGACGGGGTTTCACCATGTTGACCAGGCTGGTCTTGAACCCCTGACCTCAGGTGATCTACCCGCCTTGGCCTCCCAAAATGCTGGGATTACAGGCGTGAGCCACCGTGCTCAGCCTTAGTGGGTCTTTGCTTTGAGTGACAGTTCAATCCTGTCTCTTCTATAGTGTCTGTCACCTGCAAATCCGGGGACTTCAGCTGTGGGGGCCGTGTCAACCGCTGCATTCCTCAGTTCTGGAGGTGTGATGGCGAAGTGGATTGTGAGAACGGATCAGACGAGCAAGACTGTCGTAAGTGTGGCCCTGCCTTTACTATTGAGCGCATCTGGGTCCTGGGGAGTGGTCTGACTTTGTCTCTATAGGGTCCTGCTCAAGCTGCAAGGCAGCTGCCCTGAACTGGGCTCCATCTCTTGGGGGCTCATACCAAGCCTCTTCTGCCCCTCAAATCCCTCCCTGACCAGGAGGCATTACAGACCAGGGATAGTGCCACCTCTTCGGTTTGTCACGCACAGTCAGGGACGCTGTCCCTGCCGAGGGCTGGCCACCTGGCACACACACTGGCAAGCCACTGTGATCCCCAGTGGCCGCGATCCCCGTGATCCCGTGATCCCCACCCTGTGAGGCTGAACACATAGTGACACTTGCTAGCCACGCCTCAATGACCCAGGTAACGTGAAGGGGAAAAAGTTAGAAAGTTCTGCCAAGGAGGAAGGCCAAGAATCCCAAAGGGAAATGGGCTTTGAAGCTGGGCATTTTCTTGGCTGCCTTAATACAAGTGGCATATCCCAAATCCAAAAACCTGAAATTCAAAGTGTTGAGCACCCAAAATTCTGAAACGTCTTGAGCACTGACATTTAGAAGAAAATGCTTATTGGAGCATTTTGGATTTCGGATTTTTACCATCAAGTGTGGAGTCCTAATTAGGAAAAAGCCAGGCTGGTCAAACCAAGGGAAAGCAATAAAAGAAGGCAGATAGAGTCGAGTGCAGTGGCTCACGCCTGTAATCCCAACCCTTTGAGAGGCTGAGGCGGGTGAATCACTTGAGGTCAGGAGTTTAAGAGCATCTTGGCCAACATGGTGAAACCCCGTCTCTACTAAAAATACAAAAATTAGCCAGGCGTGGTGGTGTGTGCCTGTAATCCCAGCTACTCGGGAGGCTGAGACAGGAGAATCACTTGAACCTGGGAGGCAGAGGTTGCAGTAAGCCAAGATCACACCATTGCACTCCAGCCTGGGGGACAAGAGTGAAAATCTATTTCAAAAAAAAAAAAAGAAGGCTGCGCATGGTGGCTCATGTCTGTAATCCCAGCACTTTGGGAGGCTGAGGCGGGTGGATCAGGAGGTCAGGAGATCAAGACCATCCTGGCTAACACGGTGAAACCCCTTCTCCACTAAAAATACAAAAAATTAGCTGGGCGTGGTGGCAGTTGCCTGTAGTCCCAGCTACTCGGGAGGCTGAGGCAGGAGAAAGGTGTAAACCCAGGAGGCGGAGCTTGCCGTGAGCTGAGATGGCACCACTGTACTCCAGACTGGGCAGCACAGCGAGATACTGTCTCCAAAAAAAAGAAAAAAAAAAGAAGAAGAAGGCAGATAAACTATATAAGTCTGCCTTTCTTCATGGTCCAGAACACATAGTCCTCCTGTGTAAATAACTCCCAATCTTCCTGTGCCCAGGTATCAGCAGACACCTTGGCTGATAGAAAATTGCAGGTTAGCGCACTGCAACCTTGGCATCATAGGGACTGCACAAAGCCCTCTTCAGCGCACAGCACAAGCACCATTCTATAAAATCTCCAGCAAGCAGCCGGGTGCGGTGGCTCACACCTGTAATCCCAGCACTTTGGGAGGCTGAGGCGGGCTGATCATCTGAGGTCAGGAGTTTGAGACCAGCCTGGCCAAAATCATAAAACCCTGTCCCTACTAAAAATACAAAAAAATTATCCAGGCATGGTGGCAGGTGCCTATAGTCCCAGCTACTTGGAAGACTGAGGCAGGAGAATCGCTTGAACCTGGGAGGTGGAGGTTGCAGTGAGCTAAGACCGTGCCATCACACTCCAGCCTGGGGGACAAGAGTGAGACTTCTCAAAAAAAAAAAAAAAAAAAAAATCCCCAGCAAGCCTTTGTCTCCTGGCAGTCAGCTCCTCTCTTGCTGACCTGCTCATTGCTTTCTTGCAAGGTATTTTCCTACCTTCTCAAATAAATCTGCGTTTCTTTACCTACAACTGCCTTTTTTTTTTTTTTTTTTTTTGAGACCGAGTCTCACTTTGTTGCCCAGGCTGGAGTTCAGTGGTGCAGTCTCGGCTCACTGCACCACTGGTCCCAAGCATTTTAGAGAAGTGATACTCAACCCAAAATAAGGACAGGAATTCTATAAATGGTGCCACCATCTTGCAGCTCTCAGTTTAACAGCTTTACACCTATTAACGCACCAGTCCTCAGAGCAGTGCTGGGAGATGTGTACAGATGAGGAAACTGAGGCACTGAGAGGGCAGTGGTTCAGAGTCCATGGCCCCTGACTGCTCCCCAGCCCGCCTCTCCAGGGGCCTGGCGTTTCTGTGGCAGCGTCCCCGGCTATCGAATGGGCTAGTGTTGGGGACTTCACGGTGACGGTGTTCACGGCCCATCCATCCCCGCAGCCCCCAAGACGTGCTCCCAGGACGAGTTTCGCTGCCACGATGGGAAATGCATCTACCGGCAGTTCGTCTGTGACTCAGACCGGGACTGCTTGGACGGCTCGGACGAGGCCTCCTGCCCGGTGCTTACCTGCGGCCCCGCCAGCTTCCAGTGCAACAGCTCCACCTGCATCCCCCAGCTGTGGGCCTGCGACAACGACCCCGACTGCGAAGATGGCTCGGATGAGTGGCCTCAGCACTGTCAGGGTCTTGAAGTACCCAAAAGGGACAGTAGCCCCTGCTCGGCCTTCGAGTTCCACTGTCGAAGTGGCGAGTGCATCCACTCCGGCTGGCGCTGTGATGGAGGCCCCGACTGCAAGGACAAGTCTGACGAGGAGAATTGCCGTAAGGACAGGGGCGGGGCCGGGGGCGGGGCGTCCTATCACCTGTCCCTGGGCTCCCCCGGGTGTGGGACATGCAATGATTTAGGTGCTGAAGTGGATTTCGAACATGCCAAGAAAGTTTTCCCATTTCATGTTTTTTTTTTTTTTTTTTTTTTGAGGTGGAGTCTCACTCTGATTTTTTTCTGCTCTAAATTTCCTGCATCCATGAGGCCCCAGGCGATGGTTCCTGTTGGCTTATTGGAAAATCACTGTTTGGAAGGTGCTGGTTGTTTTTTGTTGTTTGTTTTTGTTTTGAGACGGAATTTCGCTCTTGTTGCCCAGGCTGCAGTGCAATGGCGCGATCTCGGCTCACTGCAATCTCTGTTTCCCAGGTATAAGTGATTCTCCTGTCTCAGCCTCCCAAGTAGCTCGGATTACAGGCATGCACCACCAGGTCCAGCTATTTTTTGTTGTATTTAGTAGAGATGGGGTTTCACCATGGTAGTCAGGCTGGTCGCAAACTCTTGACCTCAGATGATCCATCTGCCTCAGCCTCCCAAAGTGCTGGGATTACAGGTGTGCACTGCCGCACCCAGCCTCTTTTTTTTTTTTTTTTTTGAGACGGAGTCTTGCTCTGTCGCCCAGGCTGGAGTGCAGTGGCCGGATCTCGGCTCACTGCAAGCTTCGCCTCCTGGGTTTATGCCATTCTCCTGCCTCAACCTCCCAAGTAGCTGGGACTACAGGCGCCCGCCACCTTGCCCGGCTAGTTTTTTGTATTTTTTAGTAGAGATGGGGTTTCACTATGTTAGCCAGGATGGTCTCGATCTGACCTCGTGATCCGCCCGTCTCGGCCTCCCAAAGTGCTGGGATTACAGGCTTGAGCCACCGCGCCCGGCCTCTGGTTGTCTCTTCTTGAGAAAATCAACACACTCTGTCCTGTTTTCCAGCTGTGGCCACCTGTCGCCCTGACGAATTCCAGTGCTCTGATGGAACTTGCATCCATGGCAGCCGGCAGTGTGACCGGGAATATGACTGCAAGGACATGAGCGATGAAGTTGGCTGCGTTAACGGTGAGCACTGGCCATCTGCTTTCCCATCCCCCATTCTCTGTGCCTTACTGCTTGCAAATTATTTGTGAAGCCAGAGGGCGCTTCCCTGGTCAATTCTGCACCAGCTGTGTGTCTGTGGGCAAGTGACCTGAGTTCCCAGAGCCTCACTTCCTTTTTTTTTAGATGGAGCCTCGCTCTGTCACCCAGGCTGGAGTGCTGTGGTGCAATCACAGCTCACGGCAGCCTCTGCCTCTGGGGTTCCGGTGATTCTCCTGCCTCAGCCTCCCGAGTAGCTGAGATTAAAAGCATATGCCACCATGCCAGGCTAATTTTTTGTATTTTTATTAGAGACAGGGTTACACCATGTTGGCCAGGCTGGTCTTGAACTCCTGACCTCAGGTGATCCACCTGCCTTGGTCTCCCAAAGTGCTGGGATTACAGGTATGAGCCACCACCCCAGGCCTAATTGTTTTGTATTTTAGTAGAGATGCGGTTTTGCCATATTGCCCAGGCTGGTCTCGAACTCCTGGGCTCAAGCGATCTGCCTGCCTCAGCCTCCCAAAGTGCTGGGATTACAGGTGCAAACCACCGTGCCCGATGCGCTTTCTTAATGAATCCATTTGCATGTGTTCTTATGTGAATAAACTATTATATGAATGAGCACCAAGCAGACTGCAGGTCAGACACACCTGACCTTCCTCCTTCCTCTCTCTGGCTCTCACAGTGACACTCTGCGAGGGGCCCAACAAGTTCAAGTGTCACAGCGGCGAATGCATCAGCCTGGACAAAGTCTGCAACATGGCTAGAGACTGCCGGGACTGGTCAGATGAACCCATCAAGGAGTGTGGTGAGTCAGGGTGCAGGCGGCTTGCAGAGTTTGTGGGGAGCCAGGAATGGAACTGAGAAATGAGTGCTGTAGGGTTTTGGGAACTCCACGCTGCCCGCCCTGTGCAAAGGGCTCCTTTTTTTATTTTGAGACAGTCCCGCACTGTCGCCCAGGCTAGAGCACAATGGCGTGATCGTGGCTCCGTGCAACCTCCGCCCACCGGGTTCAAGCGATTCTCCTGCCTCAGCCTCCCAAGTAGCTGGGATTACAGGTGAATGCCACCGTGCTGTACTAAGTTTTGTATTTTTAGTAGAGATGGGGTATCACCATGTTGGCCAGGCTGGTCTCGAACTCCTGACCTCAAGTGATCCACCCACCTCCTAAAGTGCTGGGATTACAGGCGTGAGCCACCTTGTCCTGGTAAGGTTTTTTTTTTTTTTTTTTTTTTGAGACAGAGTCTCACGCTGTCGCCCAGGCTGGAGTGCAGTGGCCGGATCTCAGCTCACTGCAAGCTCCGCCTCACGGGTTTACGCCATTCTCCTGCCTCAGCCTCCGGAGTAGCTGGGACTACAGGCGCTGCCACCTCACCCGGCTATTTTTTTGTATTTTTTAGTAGAGACGGGGTTTCACTGTGTTAGCCAGGATGGTCTCGATCTCCTGACCTCGTGATCCACCCGTCTTGGCCTCCCAAAGTGCTGGAATTACAGGCTTGAGCCACCGTGCCCGGTCGTGTTTTTTTTTTTTTTTTTTTTTTTTTTACCAACTCTCTATGGTGGATGCTGAAAGACCCTATTAGGGTAACTGTACAGTACAGAGAACACAGTGGGGAGTTTTCTCTGTCATATACCAGGGAGGGCTTGGGCACGGTGGCACACTCCTGTAGTCTCAGCTACTCAGAAGGTTGAGGAAGGAGGATCGCTTGGGCCCAGGAGTTGCAGACTGTAGTGAGCTGTGATCACACCACCACACTTCAATCTGGGCAACAGAGTAAGAGACCCTATCTCTAAAAAAAAGTAAATATTTTGGACACTGTGGGCCATACGGTCTCTGGCGCAGTTTCTCAACATGGCTGTTGGGTGAACACCACCACCCACAGAACGCAAACCAATACATGTGGCTGTGGGCCCAGAAAATGTTATTTATGGACACTGAAATTGGAATTCCATATAACTGTTTTCTGTCACGAAAATGATTTCCCTTTTTATTTTTATTTTTCTTCTCAAGTATTTAAACACGGAAAAGCCATTTTTAGGCCTGGCGGGATGGTTCACGGCTGTGATCCCAGTACTTTGGGAGGTCGAGGCGGGAAGACCACAAGGTCAGGAGATGAAGACCATCCTGGCTAACATAGTGAAACCCCGTCTCTACTAAAAATACAAAAAATTAGCCAGGCGTGGTGCCGCGCATCTGTAATCCCAGCTGCTCGGGAGGCTGAGGCAGGAGAATCGCTTGAATGCAGGAAGTGGAGGTTGCAGTGAGCCAAGGTCGCACCACTGCACTCCAGCCTGAGCAACGGAGTGAGAGTCCGCCTCAAACAAAAAAATGTTTGCTCATGCAGGTCTTGAACTCCTGGGCTCAAGCTATCTGCCCGCCTTGGTCTCCCAAAGTTCTGGGATTATAGGCATGAGCTACAGTGCCCAGACTTTTGTTGTTTTATATATATATATTTAAACTGCAGCAAAAAACATGTAATATAAAATTTACTCTCTTAAACCTTAGTAAGTGCACAGTTCTGTGCCATTAGCACATTCACACTGTTGTACAGCATCACAACCACCATCTCCAGAACTCTTTTTTTAAATTTTGTTTGTGATGGAGTCTCGCTTTGTCACCCAGGCTGGAGTGCAGTGGTGTGATCTCTGTTCACTGCAACCTCCACCTCCCAGGTTCAAGTTATTCTCTGCCTCAGCCCCCTGAGTACCTGGGATTACAGGTGCCCACCACCATGCCTAGCTAAGTTTTGAATTTGTAGTAGAGACAGACTGGGTTTCATCATGTCGGCCAGGCTGGTCTCGAACTCCTGACCTCAAGTGATGCTCCCACCTCGGCTTCCCAAAGTGCTGGGAATACAGGCATGAGCCACCGTGCCTGGCCCCAGAAATCTTTTATCTTCCCAAACTGAAGCTCCGTCCCCATGAAACACTCATTCCCCATCCCCTCCCCAACTCCTGGCACCTACCATTCTACTTTCTGTCTCTATGAATGTGATGGCTCTAGGGACCTCCTTTGAGTGGAATCAGACAGCATTTTCCTTTTTTGACTGGCTTATTTCACTGAGCCAAGTGTGGTGGTTCACGCCTGTAATCCCAGAACTTCAGGAGACCGAGGCAGGCAGATCACCTGAGGTCAGGAGTTCAAGACCAGCCTGGCCAAGGTGGTGAAACCCCATCTCTAGTAAAAATACAAAAAATTAGCCAGTTGTGGTGGTGGGTACCTGTAATCACAGCTACTCGGGAGGCTGAAGCAGGAGAATCACTTGAACCCAGGAGGCAGAGGTTTCAGTGAACCGAGATCGTGCCATTGCACTTCAGCCTGGGCAACAAGAGTGAAACTGCGTCTCAAAAAAAAAAAAAAAAAAAAGAAAGAAAAAAAAAGAGAGAGAGAGAGAGAGAGAGAAACCCCGTCTCTGCTAAAAAATACAAAAAAATTAGTAGTCAGGCATGGTGGCGCATGCCTGTAGTCCCAGCTACTCGGGAGGGTGAGGTATGAGAATCACTTGAACCCGGGAGGTAGAGGTTGTAGTGAGCCAAGATTGGCAGCGAAGGGATGGGTGGGGGCCTGAGCGTGACCAGTCTGTGTCCCCTGGCCCTGCACAGGGACCAACGAATGCTTGGACAACAACGGCGGCTGTTCCCACATCTGCAACGACCTTAAGATCGGCTACGAATGCCTGTGTCCCGATGGCTTCCAGCTGGTGGCCCAGCGAAGATGCGAAGGTGATTCCCGGGTGGGACTGAGCCCTGGGCCTCCTCTGTACTTCCTGACATGGCGACTAAACCCCTCATGCCTGTTTGCGGCCCATCTGTTAAGCGGACCTGAAAGCAGTTAGTAGGGCTTCATGAGATTCCACCGGCATGGAAAACTATCATCGGCTGGCCAGAGGTTCTTGCCTCTGGGGATTAATAATTAAGAAATTTCAGGCCGGGCGTGGTGGCTCACGCCTGTAATCCCAACACTTTGGGAGGCCGAGACAGGTGGATCACCTGAGGTTGGGAGTTCGACACCAGCCTTATCAACATGGAGAAACCCTGTCTCTACTAAAAATACAAAATTAGCTGGGCGTGGTGGCTCACGCCTGTAATCCCAGCTACTCGGGAGGCTGAGGCAGGAGAATTACTTGAACCTGGGAGGTGGAGGTTGCGGTGAGCTGAAATTGTGACATTGCACTCCAGCCTGGGCAACAAGAGTGAAACTCTGTCAAAAAAAAAAAAAAAAAGAGAAATTTCAGCTGATACAGCTTCACACTCTTGGTTGAGTTCCTGTGGTGAGTGGTGAGGTCACGTCATGGTTGAGGATGACACCTGGCTGTTTCCTTGATTACATCCTCCAAGAGGCCGGGCTGTCCCCTGGCTGCCTTCGAAGGTGTGGGTTTTGGCCTGGGTCCCATTGCTCCGTCTCCAGCCATTGGGGAGGAGTCCCCCCACCAAGCCTCTTTCCCTGCCTTCCAGATATCGATGAGTGTCAGGATCCCGACACCTGCAGCCAGCTCTGCGTGAACCTGGAGGGGAGCTACAAGTGCCAGTGTGAGGAAGGCTTCCAGCTGGACCCCCACACCAAGGCCTGCAAGGCTGTGGGTGAGCATGGGAAGGCAGCGGGCGGGGGCGGCCTCATCCCTTGCAGTCAGAAACGGTGAGGAGTTTCATCATCTGAACTTTGCACAGACTCATATCCCCTGGCCAGGAGGCTGTTTGCTCCCAAGGGCTCTGGCAGGGGAGTCCGCTGCCCTGTTAGGACGTGGGCTTGCCAGGGGCATGACTGCATATATCCTAGTTTCTAGGAATATCCAGTTAACGAAACCCTCAGCCCTGCTGGTGGAACAGGAACCGGCTTTCCTTTCAGGGACAACCTGGGGAGTGATTTCAAGGGGTTAAAGAAGAAAAAATTAGCCAGGTGTGGTGCCGCACACCTGTGGTCCTGGCTACTCTGGAGGCTGAGGCGGGAGGATCGCTTGAGGCTACTTGGGAGGCTGAGGCGGGAGGATCGCTTGAGGCCAGGAGGATTGGTTGATCCTCCCATGTCAGCCTCCGGAGTAGCCAGGACCTCAGGTGCATGCCCCCATGCCCAGCTAATTTTCATATTTTTAGTAAAGACAGGGTTTCACCTTGTTGGCCAGGCTAGTCTTGAATTCCTGAACCCAAGTGATCCTCCTGCCTTGGCCTCCCAAAGTGCTAGGATTACAGACACTACACCTGGCTATTATTATTTTTTAGAGACAGGGTCTTGCTCTGTCTTCCAGCCTGTAGTGCAGTGCAGCCTCCATCGTAGCTCACTGCAGCCTTGACCTCCTGGGTGCACACGATCCTGCTACCTCAGCCTCTGGAGTAGCTGGGACTACTGGCATGTGCCACCATACCTGGGTAAATTTTTTTTGTTTTTTTTGTTTTTTTTGTTTTGAGACAGAGTCTCATTCTGTCACCCAGGCTGGAATGTGGAATGTGGTGACACGATCTTGGCTCACTGTAACCCCCACCTCCCAGGTTCAAGCAATTCTTCTGCCTCACCCTTTCAAGTATCCGGGATTACAGGTTCCTGTTACCAAATGTGGCTAGTTTTTGTACGTTTAGTAGAGACGGGGTTTCACCACGTTGGTCAGGCTGGTCTCAAACTCCTGACATAAAGTGATTCACCCACCTCAGCCTCCTAAGGTGCTGGGATTACAGGCTTGAGCCACCGTGCCCGGCCTAATTTTTTTTTTTTTTGTGGCAATAAAGTCTCATTGTGTTACCCAGGCTAGCCTTACACTCCCAGAAAAAGTGATCCTCCAAAAGTGCTGGGACTACAGGCGGGCTCCACTGTGCCTGTTCCCATCAGGAGGTTCTTTTCCACCCTGTTTTTCTGGGTGCCTCCTCTGGCTCAGCTGCACCCTGCAGGGTGACACGAGGGGATGGGGAGGCACTCTTGGTTCCATCGCTGGGTTCCCTCTGCCCCCCTGACCTTGCTCCCCGGGTCCCCAGGCTCCATCGCCTACCTCATCTTCACCAACCGGCATGAGGTCAGGAAGATGACGCTGGACCGGAGTGAGTACACCAGCCTCATCCCCAACCTGAGGAACGTGGTCGCTCTGGACACGGAGGTGGCCAGCAATAGAATCTACTGGTCCGACCTGTCCCAGAGAATGATCTACAGGTGAGCGTCGCCCCTGCCTGCAGCCTTGGCCCACAGGTGAAATGAGGCCTCCCGGCTCTGACGCCCTCCTCTCCTCCTGCCTCAGCACCCAGCTTGACAGAGCCCACGGCGTCTCCTCCTACGACACCGTCATCAGCAGGGACCTCCAGGCCCCCGACGGGCTGGCTGTGGACTGGATCCACAGCAACATCTACTGGACCGACTCTGTCCTGGGCACTGTCTCTGTTGCGGATACCAAGGGTGTGAAGAGGAAAACGTTATTCAGAGAGAACGGCTCTAAGCCAAGGGCCATCGTGGTGGATCCTGTTCATGGGTTCGTATCCACGACGCTGAGGGGTGCAGAGGGAAGGGAGGGAGCAGGAAGGGGCTTCAGGAACTGGTTAGTGTGCTGGGCATCGTGGCTCAAAGTGCCTGTAATCCCAGCACTTTGGGAGGCTGAGGAGGGTGGATCATCTGAGGTCAAGAGTTCAAGACCAGCCTGACCAACATGGTGAAACCTCATCTCTACTAAAAATACAAAAATTAGCCGGGTGTGGTGGTGTGCACCTGTAATCCCAGCTGCTCAGGAGGCTGAGGCGGGAGAATCACTTGAACCCAGGAGGCGGAGCTTGCAGTGAGCCAAGACAGCCCCGCTGCACTCCAGCCTGGGTGACAGAGCGAGACTCCGTCTCAAACAAACAAACAAAAAAAGAACTGGTTAGTGGTTAGTGGTTAGTGGTTAGTGGTTAGTGGCTAGGCCCCAGAATGGTATCTTCCAAGCCCGTGGCTGACTCAGCAGCTCCTGGGACAAGGCACTCTGACCTGTGTTCTCTGGCAGGAAGCATTGCCCCTGCCTTCTGCCTGGCGTACTCTGTACCTGTCAGGTGACATCTGCCACCTGAGCACGTGAGAGGTGGCATCTCAGTTTCAGTGAGGCGCTGACAAGCTGGGATGCACACCGTCCTCACAGCCGCCATTAGGAGGTGGATGTTCGGTCTCGGGCAGAGATCACTGGAGAAGGCACACTCGGTGTCCGGCAGGGGAAAGCAGGGAAGAGAGCATCATTTAGATGGAACAGAACTTGCTTGCGGGGGAAGGTGGGCCCACTAGGGCCAACGTCCCTTTTTATTTTTGTTTGTTTATTTTTTTTTGAGACAGAGTCTCGCTCTGTCGCCCAGGCTGGAGTGCAGTGGTCTGACCTAGGCTCACTGCAAGCTCCGCCTCCCAAGTTCACAACATTCTCCTGCCTCAGCCTCCCAAGAAGCTGGCACTACAGGCGCCCGCCACCACGCCCGGCTAATTTTTTGTATTTTTAGTAGAGACGGGGCTTCACCATGTTAGCCAGGATGGTCTCAATCTCCTGACCTCGTGATCCGCCCACCTCGGCCTCCCAAAGTGTTGGGATTACAGGCGGGAGCCACTGCGCCTGGCCCCCTTTTTATTTTTTATTTTTTGAGGCGGAGTCTTGCTCTGTCGCCCAGGCTAGATTGCAGTGGCAAGATCTTGGCTCACTGCAGACTCCACTTCCTGGGTTCAAGTGATTCTCCTGCCTCAACCTCCCAATTAATTGGGATTATAAGCATGCACCACCACACCTGGCTAATTTTTTGTATTTTCAGTAGAGACTGGGTTTCACCATGTTGGCTAGGCTGGTCTTGAACGCCTAGCCTCAAGTAGTCCACCCACCTCAGCCTGCCAAAGAGCGGGGATTACAGGTGTGAGCCACTGTGCCCAACCCAACCCTGGATCTCTTTTAAACAAGACAGTGCTCACTGTTGCCACAGAACAATGGGTGGGGTACGTGTGGCCCAGTGTGTTTGGCCACATAACTGCCAGGCCAGCGGGAAAGAGACTCCAGACTGTCTCCACTCAGATACAGATGTTGTGTGTGTTGTGTGTGTGTGTTCTGGTCTCATGTTTGTTTTTATCGTTTGTTTTGAGACAGGGTGTCGCTCTGTCACTGAGGCTGGAGTGCAGTGGCGCAGTCAGAGCTCACTGCAGCCTCAAACTCTTGGGATCAATCGATTCTCCCACTTCAGCCTCCCACGTAGCTGGAACCACAGGTGCACACCACTGCGCTCAGCTAAATTATTTTATTTTTAGTAGAGATGAGGTCTTACTATGTTATCCAGGCTGGTCTTGACCTCTTAGCCTCAAGCAATCCTCCTGCCTTGGCCTCCCAAAGTGTTGGGATTACAGGCGCGAGTCATTGTGCGTGGCTTGTGTTCTTGTGTTTCTTCCTTTCTTTTTCTTTCGAGGTAGCGTCTCAGTCTGCCACCCAGGCTGGAGTGCAGTGGTGTGATCATAGCTCACTGTAGCCTCAGCTTCCTGGGCTCAAGCAATCCTCCGATTTCAGCCTCCTGGGCCTGGCCAGCATGGTGAAACCCCGTCTCTACTAAAAATACAAAAATGTAGCCAGGTGTAGTGGTGCATGCCTGAAATCCCAGGTACTCCGGAGGCTGAGGCAGGAGAATCGCTTGAACCTAGAAGGTGGAGGTCGCAGCGAGCTGAGATCGTGCCACAGAACTCCAGCCTGGGCGACAGAGACAGACTCTGTTTCAAAAAAAACCCAAACAAACCATATTTGGAGTTTGGGGTTCCCAGCAGGGCTATTTCCCAAGCCTGAGCCTGGCTGTTTCTGCCAGAATTCGTTGTACATGTTGGCTGGGATCCTCCCCCACCCTCCAGCCTCACAGCTATTCTCTGTCCTCCCACCAGCTTCATGTACTGGACTGACTGGGGAACTCCCGCCAAGATCAAGAAAGGGGGCCTGAACGGTGTGGACATCTACTCGCTGGTGACTGAAAACATTCAGTGGCCCAATGGTATCACCCTAGGTATGTTCGCAGGACGGCTGTCCCAGCCAGGGCCGGGCACAGGCTGAAGGATGGATGGGGGTCGCCAGGTGGCTCTGGGACAAGTCCAAACTGCTCCCTGAAGGTGTCCCTCTTTCTTTTTTTTTTTTCTTTTTGAGACGGAGTCTTGCTCTGTCGCCCAGGCTGGAGTGCAGTGGCGCGATCTCAGCTCACTGCAAGCTCTGCCTCCTGGGTTTATGCCATTCACCTGCCTCAGCCTCCCAAGTAGCTGGAACTACAGGCGCCCGCCACCTCGCCCGGCTAGTTTTTTTGTATTTTTTAGTAGAGACGGGGTTTCACCGTGTTAGCCAGGAGGGTCTCGGTCTCCTGACCTCGTGATCCGCCCATCTCGGCCTCCCAAAGTTCTGGGATTACAGGCTTGAGCCACCGTGCCCGGCCATCTCTTTCTTTTCTTTGTTTTTTCTTTTTTGAGATGAGGTCTTGGTCTGTCACCCAGGCTGGAGTGCAGTGGCGCAGTCGTAGCTCACTGCAGCCTCCACCTCCCAGACTCAAGTGATCCTCCTGCCTCACCCTCCTGAGTAGCTTAGACCACAGACACGTGCCACCACGCAGACTAATTTTATTTTAGTTTGGGGAAGAGACAAAGTCTTGTTATGTTGGCCTGGCTGGTCTCAAACTCCAGGGTGCAAGCGTCCCTCCCACCTCGGTCTTCCAGACTACTAAGATGACAGGCGTGGGCCGCCGTACTCAGCCTCCCTGAGGTTTTTCTGACCTGCAGCTCCCCTACCTGCCCGTTGGAGAGGGCGTCACAGGGGAGGGGTTCAGGCTCACACATGGTTGGAGCTGCCTCTCCAGGTACCTCTGCCGGGTCCCTGGGGGGTTATTCCTGCCCGGATCAGCGTGGCCAGGCCCGCAGGCCCCTCTGGGACTGGCATTGGCACGTGACCTCTCCTTATCCACTTGTGTGTTCTAGATTTCCCCAGTGGCCGCCTCTACTGGGTTGACTCTAAACTTCACTCCATCTCAAGCATCGACGTCAACGGGGGCAACCGGAAGACCGTCTTGGAGGACGAAAAGAGGCTGGCCCACCCCTTCTCCTTGGCCATCTTTGAGGTGCAGCTTACGTACGAGATGCAAGAACTTAGATGGCAGATAGACACAGACTGTGTAGATCGCTCAAGCCAAGACGAATGCGGAAAACTGGTCGTGACTAGGAGGAGGTCTTAGACCTGAGTTATTTCTATTTTCTTTCTTTTTTTTTTTTTCTTTTTGAGACGGAGTTTCGCTCTTGTCGCCCAGGCTGGAATGCAATGGTGTGATCTCGGCTCACCGCAACCTCCACCTCCCAGGTTCAAGCAATTCTCCTGTCTCAGGCTCCCCAGTAGTTGGGATTATAGGCATGGACCACCATGCCCGGCTAATTTTGTATTTTTAGTAGAGACAGGGTTTCTCCATGTTGGCCAGGCTGGTCTCGAACTCCCAATCTCAGGTGATCCGCCTGCCTCTGCCTCCCAAAGTGCTGGAATTACAGGCGTGAGCCACCGCACCTGGTGCTTTGTATTCTTTTTACTGAGAGTGGTGAAAGGCAGTGATCCTCGGTCACATGTGATCTTGGCTCTCAGGGCACATTTGGCAATTTCTAGAGATTTTTTGTTTGTCACAAGTCGATGGGGAAGCCTGGTGGCATGTATTGGGTAGAGGCAAGTGACGTTGCTGAACGCCCAGAACAGAGAAGTAGCAGGCCCTAGATAGAGCCACAGTGGGGAAACCTGCTCTAAGGAAATGGCATTATTTTATAACCCCACATTCCTGGCAGCATGATTACCAAGAGCCAAAAGTGGAGTCCCCCCAGGTCTGTTCGTCCATTTGCATTTTAGTAAAGGAATAGCTGAGGCCGGGTAATTTATAAAGAAAAGAGGTTTAAACTGGGCACAGCAACCTACGCCTATAATCCCAGAACTTTGGGAGGCTGAGGCAGGAGGGTCACTTGAGTCCAGGAGTGCGAGACCAGCCTGGCCAATATGACGAAACCCTGTCTCTACAAAAAAATACAGAAAGTAGCCAGGTGTGGTGGCAGGCACCTGTAATCCCGGGTTCTCGAGAGACCGAGCCATGAGAATTGCTTGATCCCAGGAGTTGGAAGCTGCAGTGAGCCAAGATCATGCCACTGCACTTCAGCCTGGGCGACAGAGTGGGCCTCTGTCTCAAAAAAAAAAAAAAAAAAGAAAAGAAAAGAAAAGAAAAAAGTTCTGGAAATGGATAGTGGTGATGGTAATACTTGCACCACAGTGTCAATCTGCCTAAGGCCATTGAACTCTGCACTTACAAATAGCTGAGATGGTACATTTTATGTTATGTATATTTTTACCACTATTAAAAACTAGTTGTGGGCCAGGCATGGTGGCTCACGCCTGTAATCCCAGCACTTTGGGAGACCGAGGCAGGTGGATAGCCTGAGGTCAGGAGTTTGAATCCAGCCTGGCCAACATGGTGAAATCCCGTCTCTACTAAAAATACAAAAATATTAGCCAGGTGTGGTGGCACGTGCTTGTAATCCCAGCTACTCGGGAGGCTGAAGTAGGAGAATCGTTTGAAGCCAGGAGGTGGAGGTTGCAGTGACCCGAGATTGGGCCACTGTACTCCAGCCTGGGCAACAAGAGTGAAACTCTGTCTCAAAAAACAAACAAACAAAAAATCTAGTTGTGGAGAGAGGGTGGCCTGTATCTCATCCCAGTGTTTAATGGGATTTGTCATCTTCCTTGCTGCCTGTTTAGGACAAAGTATTTTGGACAGATATCATCAATGAAGCCATTTTCAGTGCCAACCGCCTCACAGGTTCCGATGTCAATTTGTTGGCCGAAAACCTACTGTCCCCAGAGGATATGGTCCTCTTCCACAACCTCACCCAGCCAAGAGGTAAGGATGGGTCAGCCCCACCCCCCACCTTGAAACCTCCTTGTGGAAACTCTGGAATGTTCTGGAAATTTCTGGAATCTTCTAGTCTATCTGATGATCTGGTTCCTGCCCTGACTCCACTTCTTCTGCCCCAGGAGTGAACTGGTGTGAGAGGACCACGCTGAGCAATGGCGGCTGCCAGTATCTGTGCCTCCCTGCCCCACAGATCAACCCCCAGTCGCCCAAGTTTACCTGCGCCTGCCCGGACGGCATGCTGCTGGCCAAGGACATGAGGAGCTGCCTCACAGGTGCAGCACACGCCTTGTTTCTGTGTCCTGTGTCCTCCAACTGCCCCTCCTGAGCCTCTCTGCTTATCTGTCAAATGGGTACTTCTAAGTCATTGTGAGGACTCGTGAGTCGGGATAACCATACTTTTCTTTCCTTGGATGGACACATCAGCACTGGGCTGGACATTTACCCAGTTCCCCTTTGATACCTGGTTTCCTCTTTCCCGGACCCCTGAAGAGGTGATATGATTTCTGACAAGGGCCCTGACGGAGGAAATGGTCCCCTTTGTTGACTTTTATTTCTCTTTTTTGAGATTTGCTCTGTCACCCAGGCTGGAGTGCAGTGGTGCCATCTTGGCTCACTGCTGCCTCTCCTATTGGGTTCAAGCAATTCTCGTGCCTCAGCCTCCCAAGTAGCTGAGATTACAGGTATGCACCACCACGCCTGGCTAATTTTTGTATTTTTAGTACAGACAGGGTTTCTCCACAGTGGCCAGGCTGGTGTCGAACTCCTGACCTCAGGTGATCCACTCACCTCTGCCTCTCGAGGTGCTAGGATTACAGGCATGAACCACCGTGCCGGGCCCCCTTTGTGGACTTTTCTCATCCTCTGAGAAAGTCTCAATTGAGGCCAACACCTCCCTCAAGCAAATTGAATCTCCCTTTTGAACAACAACAAATAACAATATGACCCAGACGTGGCAGCTCACACCTGTGGTTCCAGCTACTCGGGAGGCTGAGGTGTGAGAATTGCTTGAGCCCAGGTGGTTGAGGCTACAGAGAGCTATAATCACACCATTTCACTCCAGCCTGGGGAACAAAGTGAAACCCTATCTGAAAAAGAAAAAAGAAAAAGAAACAATATGATCACAAAGTAGATATTCATGGTGTTTATTTTCAATAATCTTTTTTCAGTTTTCTTTTTTTTGAGATGGGGTCTTGCTCTGTCACCCAGGCTGGAGTGCAGTGGCCGGATCTCAGCTCACTGTAAGCTCCGCCTCCCGGGTTTACGCCATTCTCCTGCCTCAGCCTCCCGAGTAGCTGGTACTACAGGCACGTCCCACAATGCCCGACTAATTTTTTGTGGTTTTTTTTTTTTTTTTTTTTTTTTTTGAGACGGAGTCTCGCTTTGTCTCCCAGGCTGGAGTGCAGTGGCCGGATCTCAGCTCACTGCAAGCTCCGCCTCCCGGGTTCACGCCATTCTCCTGCCTCAGCCTCCCGAGTAGCTGGGACTACAGGCGCCCGCCACCTCACCCGGCTAGTTTTTTGTATTTTTTAGTAGAGACGGGGTTTCACCGTGTTAGCCAGGATGGTCTCGATCTCCTGACGTCGTGATCCGCCCGTCTCGGCCTCCCAAAGTGCTGGGATTACAGGCTTGAGCCACCGCGTCCGGCCTTTTTTGTGTTTTATAGTAGAGATGAGGTTTCACTATGCTAGCCAGGATGGTCTCGATCTCCTGACCTCGTGATCTGCCCGCCTCGGGCTCCCATATTGCTGGGATTAGGGGCGTGAGCACTTTTTTTGAGGCGGAGTTTCCTCTTGTTAACGAGGCTGGAGTGCAATGGCGTGATCTCAGCTCACTGCAACCTCTGCCTCCTGGGTTCAAGTGATTCTCCTGCCTCAGCCTCCCAAGTAGCTGGGATTACAGGCGTGTGCCACCACGCCTGGCTAATTTTCTATTTTTAGTAGAGACGGGGTTTCTCCATGTTGGTCAGGCTGGTCTCGAACTCCTGACCTTAGGTGATCCACCTGCCTCAGCCTCCCAAAGTGCTGGAATTACAGGTGTGAGCCATCGTGCCTGGCCTCATTTTGGACTTTTTAATTTTATTTATTTATTTGAGACAGAGTCTCACTCTGTCGCCCAGGCTGGAGTGCAGTGGCTGGATCTCAGCTCACTGCAAGCTCTGCCTCCGGGGTTTACACCATTCTCCTGCCTCAGCCTCCCCAGTAGCTGGGACTACAGGCACCCGCCACATCCCCTGGCTAGTTTTTTTGTATTTTTTAGTAGAGACGGGGTTTCACCGTGTTAGCCAGGATGGTCTCGATCTCCTGACCTCGTGATCCGCCCATCTCGGCCTCCCAAAGTGCTGGGATTACAGGCTTGAGCCACCGCTCCTGGCCTTTATGTTTTTATTTTTTGGTTTCTTTTTTTTTGATACAGGGTCTCACTCTGTCCAGGCTTGAGTGCAGTGATGGGATCATAGCTCGCTGCAGCCTCTACCTCCTGGGCTCAAGCGATCCTCCCACCTCAACCTCCTGAGTAGCTGGGAGTACAGGCGTGCACCACCACCACACCTGGCTAATTTTTTTGTTGTTGTATGTAGAGATGGGATTTTGCCATGTTGACCAGGCTGGTCTTAAACTCCTGAACTCAAGAGATCCTCCTGCCTTGGCCTCCCAAGGTCATTTTAGACTTCTCCTCATTAGGCGCACTTATGAGAGGGGCTTGCAGGCACATGGCACTCAGAAGACGTTTATTTATTATTTCAGAGGCTGAGGCTGCAGTGGCCACCCAGGAGACCTCCACCGTCAGGCTAATGGTCAGCTCCAAAGCCGCAGCGACACAGCACACAACCACCCGGCCTGTTCCCAACACCTCCCGGCTGCCTGGGGCCAACCCTGGGCTCACCACGGCGGAGACAGTGACGGTGTCTCACCAAGGTAAAGGCTGGGCCTTCCCTGGGCCCCTCTTCCCCAGGAGGTGGGCCCCTTCAGTGGCCACGAACATTTTGGTCACGAGATGGAGTCCAGGTGGCGTCCTCACTCCCTTGCTGACCTCTCACTTGGGCCATGTGTCTCTGGGCCTCAGTTTCCCTATCTGTAAAGTGGGCCTAATACCAGTTCTTGCCCTCTTTGCAAGGATTAAATGGGCCAAATCATATGAGGGGCCGGGTCCTTCAGGCTCCTGGTTCCCAAAGTCAGCCACACACAGTTTGGGTCCTGAAATTTTATCAAGGCACAATCGCTGCCTCACCTTCAGGCATCTGCCCAGAAAGGCCAGGACTCAGGCAAGGAGAGGGAGGGATTCCTCAGGACGCAGCTTTTCGCAGAGGCTCCAAAAGGCTCGGGAATCCAGTACATTTTAACACAATTTTACAATTTTTTTTTTTTTTTTTTGAGACGGAGTTTCGCTCTTGTTGCCCAGGCTGGAGTGCAGTGGCACGATCTTGGCTCACTACAACCTCTGGCTCCTGGGTTCAAGCGATTCTCCTGTCTCAGCCTCCCAAGTAGCTGGGATTACAGGCATGCGCCACCACGCCTGGCTAATTTTGTGTTTTTAGTACAGACGGGGTTTCTCTATGTTGGTCAGGCTGGTCGTGAACTCCCAACCTCAGGTGATCCGCCTGCCTGAGCCTCCCAAACTGCTGGGATTATAGGCGTGAGCCACCACGCCTGGCCTTTTTTTTTTTTTTTTTGAGACAGAGTCTCGCTCTCACCCATGCTGTAGTGCAGTGACGCGGTCTCGGCTCATTGTAACCTCCGCTTCCCAGGTTCAAGCGATTCTTCTGCCTCCGTCTCCCAAGTAGAGTAGCTGGGATTACAGGCACCACTGCCATGCCTGGATAATTTTTGCATTTTTAGTAGAGATGGGGTTTCACAATGTTGGCCAGTCTGGTCTCAAACTTCTGACCTCAAGTCATCTGCCCGCCTCGGCCCCCGCCAAGTGCTGGGATTATAGGCGTGAGCCACGGCACCGGGCCTACAATTTATTTTTCGGTGACTCACACCTGTAATCCCAGCACTTTGGGCAGCCAAGGTGGGAGAATGGCTTGAGTCCAGGAGTTCAAGTCCAGCTTGGGCAACACAGCAAGACCCTATCTCTACTACAAAATGAATAATAATGAAACTAATTTTTTTTCTTTTAAAACCCAACTATTCAACATGGTAATGCAATATATTTTTTAAAATTTTTTTCTTTGAAACGGAGCCTCTCACTGTTGCCTGGGCTGGAGTGCAGTGTCACCATCTCAACTCACTGCACCCTCCGCCTCCCGGGTCCAAGCGATGCTGCTGTCTTAGCCTCCCGAGTAGCTGGGATTCCAAGTGCCACGCCTGGCTAATATTTTTGTATTTTTAGTAGAGACGGTTTCACAATGTTGGGCAGGCTGGTCTTGAACTCCTGACTTTGTGATCCACCCGCCTTGGCCTCCCAAAGTGCTGGGATTACAGGCGTGAGCCACCGTGCCTGGCCAAAACTTTTTTATTTTTATTTTTTTGGGGCACGGTCTCACTGTGTACCCCAGACTGGAGTGATAGGGCACTGTCACGGCTCACTAAAGCCTCAACCTCCCGGGGACCAGGTGTCTTCCGCTTCAGTCTCCCAGGTAGCTGGGACTACAGGCATGAGCCACCACACCCAGCTCATTTTTGAATTTTTTTGTAGAGACAGGGTTTTGCCTTGTGGCCCAGGCTGGTCTCCAACTCCTGGGCTCAAGCGATCTGCCCACCTTGGCCTCCCAAAGTGCTGACATTAATGCAATTTAAACAAAATTTTGGCCAGGCGTGGTGGCTGACGCCTATATTCCCAACACTTTGGGAGGAAAAGGCGGGCAGATCACTTGAGGTCAGGAGTTCTAGACTAACCTGGCCAACATGGTGAAACCCCCAGTCTACTAAAAAAACACAAAAGACACTTTGGGAGGCCGAGGCGGGCGGATCACAAGGTCAGGAGATCGAGACCATGGTGAAACCCCGTCTCTACTAAAAATAGAAAAAATTAGCTGGGCGCAGTGGCGGGCGCCTGTAGTCCCAGCTACTCGGGAGGCTGAGGCAGGAGAATGGCGTGAACCCGGGAGGCGGAGCTTGCAGTGAGCCGAGATTGCACCACTGCACTCCAGCCTGGGCGACAGAGCGAGACTCCGTCTCAAAAAAAAAAAAAAACAAAAAAAACACACACACAAGTTACCTGGGCATAGTGGTGGGCGCCTGTAATCCCAGCTCCTTGGGATGCTGAGGGTAGAGAATTGCTTGAACCTGGGAGGCAGTGAGCCAAGGTCATGCCACCGGACTCCAGCCTGGGTGACAGAGCAAAACTCTGTCTCCAAAAAAAATTTTTTTTTTTTTTTTTTTTTCAAATCATCACAGTATAGCCAAGGCCTGGCCACTTACTTCTGTAAATAAAGTTTTATCGGAGCCAGTGGTCCAGTGAGGCCGAATCCTGCAGGTGTAAGATCATAGCCTATCCTTGAAAATGTTGATATTTTGTTCATTGGGGGATTTTTTCATTAATTTAAATTTTAAAAAATAACATATTAAAGGCCAGTGTGGAGGTGCATGCCTACAGTCCTAGCTACACCCAGAGGCTGAGGCAGGAGACTCGCTTGAGCCCAAGAGTTGAAGTCCAGCCCGGGCAACATAGCAAGACTCCCATCTCTAAAAATAAAAATAATGCATTAGAATATTATTAGATTCCTGGGCAGGGCACAGTGGCTCACACGTGTAATACCAGCACTTTGGGAGGCTGAGGCGGGCGGATCACCTGAGGTCAGGAGTTTGAGACCAGCCTGGCCAACATGGTGAAACCCCGTCTCTACTAAAAACACAAAAATTAGCCAGGTGTGGTGGCGCACACCTGTAATCCCAGCTACTTGGGAGGCTGAAGCATGAAAATCACTTGAATCCAGGAGGCGGAGGTTGCAGTGAGCTGAGATTGTGCCATTGCACTCCAATCCTGGGGGACAAGAGTGATACTCTGTCCCCGCCCCCCCGCCAAAAAAAAGGAATATTATCGGATTCCTAAGCTTTTTGGCTCCTCCTTTCAAATCACAGAGAGGACAAATTACTCCTAGTCATTACCCATCAAAAGATGTTATGGTTACCCTCAACATCATCTTTAGTTTGGGGACTGGGGTGAGGGTCTGTCTGTCTTCATTCTGTAGACCACAGCCTCACTGTCCTCCCTGGATGTGATGAGACCCAGGTATGGGTCAGGACGTCATTCATTTGTCCACCAGAGGGCGCCCAACCTGCTTTGAGCTGCTGGGAAATGGTGCTCCCTAGACTTCGGCAAACAAAAAAAAAAAAGGGCACATCAGCAAATTTCAGACCATTCTTTTTTTTTCCCAGAGTAGCTGAAACCTTTATTCCAGTTACAAGCAGGATAAAATGGAAACTGCCTGGGAGAGGCCAGGAAACCTTCTTTCTTGGGAGGTGAGGCTTTCTGCTAGAATTCCAGACCAGCCCATCAGAACTCCTCAATTTGGCAAAAGCCATTCATTCATTCATTCATTCATTCATTCATTCATTCATTCATTCATTTGTGTAGAGAGGAGGGGGTTCTGGCTATGTTGCCCAGACTGGTCTCAAATTCCTGGCCTCAGGTGATCCTCCTGCCATGGTCTCCTAATGTGCTGCTGCGGTCACAGGCGTGGTCACCGTGCCTCAAGCTCTAGTGGACTTGAAGCTCTGACTTGCCCGGGGCCTTTATGTTGAATGGCCCAGGTCCTTTGCCAGTTCTGTGCAGTTTATCCCCATCCCATAATTCCTGGGACAGTTGATGCAGGACAATCAGCCTCCAGTGCCATTCAACCTCGGGACTGAGCATGCTGGGCTGTGAAGGGTCTGAAGGTGGCTCCCCTGTCTCCTTCAAAATACACTCATTGTTTTCTTTTCTTTTCTTTTTTTTTGAGATGCAGTCTTGCTCTATTGCCCAGGCTGGAGTGCAGTGGCACGATCTCGGCTCACCGCAGCCTCTGCCTCCTGGGTTCAAGTGATTCTCCTGCCTGAGCCTCCTGAGTAGGTGGGATTATAGGTGCCCACCACCATGCCTGGCTAATTTTTGTACATTTTAGTGGCTCAAGGTTCACCGTGTTAGCCAGGCTGGTCTTGGGCGCTCTGACCTCAGGCAACTTGCACTACCTTAGCCTCCAAAGTGCTGGATTACAGGTTGAGCCACTGGAAGGCCTGGCCTTTTTTTTTTTTTTTGAGATGGAGTCTCGCTCTGTTTCCCAGGTTGGGGGTGTGATGGCATGATCTTGGCCACTGCAACTCCATCTCCCGGGTTCAAGTTCTCTCCCTCAGCCTCCCGAGTAGCTGAATTACAGGTGCCCGCCACCCGCCCACCTAATTTTGTATTTTTAGTAGAGGCGGGGTTTCACGCACTCGTTGATCAGGCTGGTCTTGACTCCTGACCTTATGTGATCCACGCCTCAGCCTCCCAAAGTGCTGTGATTACAGGCGTGAGCGCACGCCTGGACCAAACTGTGCCATTTAATAAAATGCAGATAAGTTGACAAAAATTCTGCCCTCGACCTTGTCAACCTCTCCTGGAATGAAAGCACTCGACCCTGCTAAAGACTCATCAATGTGAGGCTCAAGAACCTTCTTAGGCTGGGCTTGGTGCCTTATGCCTGTAATCCCCACTTTGGAGGCAGAGCAGGAGGATCACTTGAGTTTAAGACCAGCCTGCTTCTCTTGAACCCCTATTTCTATCCTCTGAAAAACCTTCTTAAGCTGATTGAGTCCCACAACTTTGATAACTCTACAAGTTAGCCCGTGTGGCATCTCTACGCAGACTAATTTTCCGAGTGCCCAGGAGGCGTGCTGGGCACTTTCCTGGCCGTGACTGCTGTCCTCTGCCTGCTCCATTTCTTGGTGGTCTTCCCTTTAGACCTGGGCCTCCTCTTGCTTCTCTCCTGCAGCTCTGGGCGAGCGTTGCTGGCAGAGGGAAATGAAAAACCCAAGGCGTGGGGCTCTGTCCATCGTCCTCCCCATTGGTAAAGCGCGGGCCAGTCCCCCAGCATCCCCGGGTCACAGCCTCCTGCAATGTGACCTCGTGCCTCACCAGGACCCAGACTCTGTTCACCTTTTCTCCCGGGCAGGTACGAAAATACACTGAGTGTCTATCACCCGACAGCACCTCTCGGCCGGGCGGCCAGTGACAAGTCAGACCCAGTGGAGGGCGTGGAGCTGGGTCCTGTTCTGGGGAACTGGTTCTCTTGCAGGAACTGTGTGACGCCTCTAAGCTGCCTGCTCATGCTCATCTAACTCACATCACATTTCTTTTCTTCTTTCTTAAATTTTTGAAAAAGAAATTCATTATTTCAAAGAACAGAGTCTTGCTCTGTCACCCAGACTAGAGGCGATCCGCGCTTGCTGTAGCCTCAATGTGACTCAGAGTGATCCTCCCACCTCGGCTCCCGAGTAGCTGAGTGACCACTGTACCCGGTTCCTGTTTGCTTAAACAGTGTCACAGCCTTGTGTGGCTAATCCTGGACACAGAAATATGGAAAAGTCAGCTACTTCTGGGGTGTGGCTCACCCAGTGGGCCATGTTCATGTACCCACACTTCACCGAGGCTGGGTGCATGGCTCATGCCTGTAATCCCAGCACTTTGGGAGGCTGAGGTGGGTGGGCTCAAGCCAGCAGAGACCAACCTGGGCAACATGGCGAAACCTGTTTCTACAAAGATACAAAAATTAGCTGGGCAGGTGACACTTGCCTGTGGTCCCAGCTACTTGAAGGCTGAGGCGGGAGGATTACTTGAACCTGGGAAGGTCGAGGTTGCAATGAACTGAGACTGCGCGCACACACTCCAGCCTGGCGACAGAGCAAGACTCCGTCTCAAAAAAAAAATAATAAAATAAAATTCTTATGGATAGATTTGCTATTTTCTGTTTGTTTTTGTTTTTTTTCTTTTGGTGTTTTTCTTTGGTGTTTTTTTTGAGGTTGCCTGTGCCCAGGTTGGAGTGCAGTGACACGATCTTGGCTCACTGCAACCTCCACCTCCCGGGTTCAAGCAATTCTCCTGCCTCAGCCTCCCGAGTAGCCGAGGACCATGTGGGGCGCCCGTCCCACGCCCGGCTAATTTTTATGGTTATAGTAGAGATGCTCGTTTCACTATGTTGACCAGGCAATCTTGAACTCCTGACTTCATGATCCACCTGCCTCGGCCTCCCAAGGTGCTGGGATTATGGCGTGAGCCACCGCAGCACCACCCGGCCTGTTTATTTTTGTTTTTTGAGATGGAGTCTCCGGCTGCTTGGGCTGGAGTGCAGTTGCTCAACCTCAGCTCATTGCAACCTCCGCCTCTTGGGTTCAAGCGGTTCTCCTGCCTCAGCCTCCCGAGTAGCTGGGATTACAGGTGCCCACCACCACACCTGGCTGGTTTTTGTAATTTTAGTAGAGATGGGGTTTCACTTCATTGGCCAGGCTGGTCTCATCCTCCCGACCTCAAGTGATTGCCCGCCTCGGCCTCCCAAAGTGCTGGGATTACAGGCGCCCAGGCCCCTGCCAGCATCAAAAAAAAAAAAAATAACGGACATGGTGGTGCATGTCTATAGTCCAAGCTATTCAGAACACTGAGTTGGGAGGATCACCAGCTTAGGCCAGGAGGTTGAGGCTGCAGTGAGCTATGATGCCACGCTCCAGCCTGAGGCACAGGAAATGGAACACTGTCTCTCTTTTTTTTTTTTTTTTTGATGGAGTCTTGTTCTGTCACCAGACTGGAGTGCAGTGGTGCAATCTCAGCTCACTGCAACCTCCGCCTCCCGGGTTCAAGCAATTCTCCTGCCTCAGTCTCCCAAGTAGCTGGGACTACAGGTACCCGCCACCATGCCCAGCTAATTTTTTGTATTTTTAGTAGAGATGGGGTTTCACCATGTTGGCCAGAGCTGGTCTCGAACTCCTGACCTCATGATCTCTGCCTGCCTCGGCCTCCCAAAGTGCTGGGATTACAGGCGTGAGCCACTGTGCCCAGCCTCAGAACTGTCTCTAAACAAACGCAAAGACCAAGAGTCAGGTTGTAGTGCGATGCCCGTGTTTAGCTCCAGCCATGGGCTGGTCTCTTGTGTTGAGCGGAGCTGTGTGACAGAGTGTGCCTCTCCCTACAGTGCTCCTCGTCTTCCTCTGCTTGGGGGCCTTCCTCCTCTGGAAGAGACTGGCGGCTGAAGAGCATCAGCAGCATCAGCGATAACCCTGTCTATCAGAAGACCACAGAGATCGGAGTCCACATTTGCCGCAACCAGGAGGCGCTGCAACTACCCCTCGGTGAGTGACCCCTCTGAAGGCCAGGCCCATGGCGACCCCCTCAGCTGGGCATAGGATTCTCAAAGGGACCAGGCGGGCTTCCCCAGCCCTCCAGATCGAGGACGGCGTGAGTGATGCTTCTGTGCGCTAAGTTCAGAATGTCAGTGGACAATGGCCTCGGTGATGTAGAAGAGGCGCTGGATCAGCAAATAGAGGAGTTCCATCAGATGGTGACAGAGCAAAGATCAAAAGGAGTTCAGAGGCCGAGGCGTGGTGGTTCATATAGCATCCCAGCACTTTGGGAGGCCAAGGTGGATCACCTGTGAGGTCAGGAGTTCAAGATCAGCCTGCCCAGCACAAGAAACCCCGTCTCTATAAAAATACAAAAATTAGTTGGTGGGCGCTGGTAGTGGGGCACCTGTAATCCCAGCTACTTGGGAAGCTGAGATAGAAAAATCGCTTGGGGCGGAGGTTGCAGTGAGCCGAGATCCACCACTGCACTGCAGCCCGGGTGGCAAACAAAAACTCCATTTCAAAAAAAAAGGAGTTCAGAGGCAGGACACGGTGGTTTCCTTGTGATCCCAGAACTTGCAGGAGGCTGAGCAGGTAGAAATCACCTGACTCAGAGTTCATGACCAGCCTGGGCAGCATAGCAAGACCCCATCTCTGCAAAAATATAAAAATTTAGCCTAGACAACCTATAGTTTACAGCTGGGAGGCTAATGGGAGGTCAAGACTGCAGTGAGGTCGTGATTGCACCACTGCACTCCAGCCCACATGATGACAGAGCAAGACTTTGTCTGTTAACAAACAAAACAAAACTCAAGAAGAAGAAGGTTTCCCTACTGCAAAGGGCTGGGAGGGAGGAAGGGAGAGGAGGTGTTTTGTGTGTGTGGTGGTGGTGGTGTTTTGAGACAGGGTCTTGCTTTGTCACCCAGGCTGGAGTCTGATGTGCGATCTTGGCTCTGCTACAACTTCTGCCTCCTGGGTTCAAGCAATTTTCATGCCTCAGCCTCAGCCTCCTGAGTAGCTGGGATTACAACACTATGCGGGGAATTTTGTATTTTGAGGCAGAGATGAGGTTTAGCCATGTGTTGCTTTGAACTGGTCTCGACCTCCTGACCTCAAGTGATCCACCCGCCTTGGCCTCTCCCATGCTGGGATTGCAGGCGTGAACCTACATAGCCTGCCTGCAGCCTTGATCTTCAGACATGAGGGTTGGGGTGAGTACTTTCTCTGATGCAGAGGAACAGCCTGTGCGAAGGCCCTGAGGCTGGACCGTGCCTGTTGGGTTTGGGCAGTTGTAGCTGGAGCAGAGGGAGTACAAAGGCCGAGGGAGGCCGGCCGAGGCGCGGTCAAGCCTGTAATCCCAGCACTTTGGGGAGAGACGGCGGATCACGAGTCAGGAGATCGAGACCATCGAACACGGTGAAACCCTGTCTCTACTAAAAAAATATAAAAAACCGCCGGGCGAGGTGGCGACCTGTAGTCCCAGCTGCACGGGAGCTGAGGCGGAAGAATGGCGTAAACCCGGGAGGCGGAGCTTGCAGTGGTGAGATCCGGCCACTGCACTCCAGCCTGGAACGAAAAGAGCCAGACTCCATCTCAAAAAAAAAAAAAAAAAAAAAAAAAAAAAAAGGCAGGAGGCGACCAGGCTGGGTTGTGCAGAGCCTCGTGGGCCACCGAGGAGGACTTTGGCTGCCCTGCAGCAGTGGGAAGTGAGTGAATGCGTGTACTCACCGTCTCCCTCTGGCGGCTCCTGAGAACATGCTGAGGGATCAGGATGTGGGAGGCTGCCGAGCCCAGGAGGTGAAGTAGGTGGCCTCCGGCCGAGAGTTTCCCTGAATGCTGGACTGATAGTTTCCCCAAACGCACCATTTTGTTGGCAGAGACAGATGGTCAGTCTGGAGGATGACGTACGTGAACATCTTCCTGGAGTCCCTGGAGTCCGTCTTGCCCAGAACCTTCCTGAGACCTCGCCGGCCTAGATTTCAGTCCAAAGACAGAAGACCAAAGCATTGCCTGCCAGAGCTTTGTTTTATATATTTATTCATCTGGGAGGCAGAACAGGCTTCGGACAGTGTCCATGCAGTGGCTTGGGTTGGGATTTTTGGTTTCTTTCTTTACTTGTGAAGAAGAGAAACAGGCTTGAGGATGCCAAGATGACCGCGTCCATTTGGAAGTTTTGAGTTTCTCTCCACCGTGACACAATCCTCAAACATGGAAGATGAAAAGGGCAGGGGACGTCAGGTCAAGAAGCAAGTGACTTTCAACACCGATAGCAGATGTCTGGCAGGACCCCGGCCTGCCTCGATCCACCAGTCTCTAAGCGCCGAACCAGCAAACTCCAGGAGTCAAGCGTGTTTACCTCTTCTATGCAGAAGGCCTTGCTCAACAGCCAAGTTATGTTTGCCTATCACGAATCATGACTCACCCGGTGTCTTTCAAGCTGGGCTTGTACCTTCCTCAAACCAGGAAAAGGGATTCGGTAGCGTCGAACTGATCTGGCTACAGATCGTGGTGGCACTGAACCAAACTCATTCACCAAATGATGCCCTTCCCAGAGGAGAGCCTAGTCTGGTCACCCATAATATTTATTAAGTGCCTGAGATACAGCGAGCCAGGCACCCAGGTGTTAATCTCACTTGGCCATGAGGACCGTGGCCTGCACCCAGGTGTGGCTGTCAGAGCTGGCCACAGTTGCCCGCCTCCCCCACCCTACCCACTTCCATTCCTGTGGTCTCCTTGCACTTTCTCAGTTCAGAGTGTACATTGTGTAAAATTCAGCATCTGTGTTATTTTGCACTGTTTTTTCTGTATCGGTAATGTGTTGGGATGGGATCAGGCCAGGGAAAGCCTGTGTCTCAATGAATGCAGAGACAGACAGGGCAGGTTGACCCAGACTTCAAAGCCGTGATGGTGAATATCGAGAACTGCCATTGTCTTCTTTATGTCTGCTCACCTAGTGCCTCCACTACTATGCAAATGCCTCCAAGCCATTCACATCCCGATCTTGTCATTGATGGGTATGTGTTGTATGCATGGTGGCCGGGCGCGACTCATGCCCATAATCCCAGCACTTTGGGAGGCCGAGGAGGGCGGATCATCTGAGGTTAGGAGTTCGAGACCAGCCTGGCCAACATGGTGAAACTCTGTCTCTACAAAAATACAAAAGGTAGCTGGGTGTGGTGGTGCGTGCCACCGTCCCAGCGATTCGGGAGGCTGAGGCAGGAGAATCGCTTGAACCCAGGAGTTGGAAGTTGCAGTGAGCTGAGATCGTGCCATTGCACTCCAGCCTGGGTGACAAAGCGGCTTGTTTCAAACAAAACAAAACAAAACAAAACAAAAACACATACTGGTGCATCAGAAGCCTGTGTCCTCTGGCTGAGCCGTGATTAAGGTGGGAGGATATAGTTTTGAGCTCAGGCATTTGAGGCTGCTGAGCTATGATTATACCCTGCGCTCCAGCCTGGGCAACATAGTAAGACCCCATCTCTTTAAAAATGAAGTTGGCCAGACACAGGTGCCTCATGCCTGTAATCCTAATCCCAGCACTTTTAGGAGCTGGGTCAGAAGGATCTTGATCTCCTGACCTCCTGATCCACCCACCTTAGCCTCCCAGAATGCTTTGCATTACAGGCGTGAGCCACCACGCCCAGCCAACGCTCTGGCTACTTTTTGAATTTTTGGTGAGACGAGGGTTTCACCATGTTGGTCAAGCTTGTCTTGTGAACTCCTGATGACCTTGGGTGATCTGCCCACCTCAGCCTCCCAAAGTGCTGGGATTACAAGTGTTAGCCACTGCCCAGGCCCGGCCCTCCTCCTTTCTTTCATCTGTTTGTGGATTGGACTCCCCAGGAGAAGGACCGAGAAGGGGAAGATTTTCAGGAGTTGGAGACCAGGCCTGAGCAACAAAGCGAGATCCCATCGCTACAAAAATCAAAAAGTTAAAAATCAGCGGGGTGCGGTGGTACGTGCCTGTGATCCCAGCTACTCGGGAGGCTGAGGCAGGAGGATCACCTGAGCCCAGGAGGTGGAGGAGTTGCAGTGAGCCCGCGATCGAGCTGCACTCCCAGCTGGGCAACAGATCAAGACCTATCTCAGATAAATAAACTATAAAAAAAAATAAATCAGAAGTCTGGATTGTTTTGTTTGATGGGACTTCAGGTTCTTTCTGAAATTGCCCTAATCTTACTGTTGCACTGTTGAGAGAGAGTGACAGCTTCCCTCCAGATTCCGGTGTGAAGATGTCACAGGGATTGGCTGTTGTCCCCAGGGACGAAGCATGCCCCCAGTGCAGGGAACCATGACAAGCCTTTCTGGTTCAGACATCATAAATCGTCCTGGACGAATAGTGGGGTTTTTGTTATGTTTGCACTTTGTATATTGGTTGAAACTGTTATCACTTATATATATATACGTATATATAAATCTATTTATTTATGCAAAGCCTAGTTTTCATATTTGTTCAGTGACTATTCTCGCGGAGGCCCTGCGTAGTGGGTTATTGTCTCTGAAATGCCTCTTCTTTATGTACAAAGATTATTTGCACGAACTGGACTGTGTGCAACGCTTTTCGGGAGAATGATGTCCCCGCTGTATGTATGAGTGGCTTCTGGGAGGCAGATTGTCACTTTTAAACCACTGTATAGAAGGGTTTTGTAGCCTGAATGTCTTACCTTGATCAATTAAATTTCTTAAATGAACCAGTTTGTCTAAACTCGATGCACTTTCTTCTGTTCGCTTTTTTTTTTTTTTTTGAGATGGAGTGGCTCTGTGCTGGCGGGCTGGAGGCACGTGGCATGATCTTGGCTCACTGCAACCTCCGCCTCCCAGGTTCAAGCAATTCTCCTGCCTCAGCCTCCCACAAGTAGCTGGGATTACAGGCCAGTGCCACTATGCCTGTAATTTTTTTTTTTTTTTTTTGAGATGGAGTCTTGCTCTACCGCCCAGGCTGTAGTGCAGTGGCGCCATCTGGCTCACACTACAACCTCCGCCTCCTGGGTTAATGCCATTCTCCA